CAGGAGATCCCAGCTACTCAGAAGGCTGAGGCAGGAGAATGGCATAAACCCGGGAGGTGGAGCTTGCAGTGAGCCGAGATCCGGCCACTGCACTCCAGCCTGGGCGACAGAGCGAGACTCTGTCTCAAAAAAAAACAAAAACAAAAACAAAAAACTTAAAAAAATATATACATGTCTCCTTCTGTTGTATTGAGGACATTTGAGTTGTTTCTAGTTTTTTACTATTGCAAATAAAGCTGATACATATATGTCATATATCGTATATGTATATATAAAATACATCTTTTTAAAAAAAATTTTTAGAAGCAGGGTCTTACTCTGTATCCCAGGCTGGAGTGCAGTGGCAGGAGTGTTCCACTTATATGCCATTTATATGACATATAAATATATAACATAATCAGGTGTGGTGGCTCATGTCTGTAATCCCAGCACTCAAACTCCAAGGCCAGGAGTTTGAGACCAGCCTGGGCAACATAACGAGACCCTGTGTCTACAAAAAATTTTTTTAAATTAGTGGGGTTCCTGCTTGAACCCAGGAATTCAAGGTTGCAGTAAGCCATGATCACGCCACTGCACTCCAGCCTGGGCAACAGACCAAGATCCTGTTTCAAGGATATAAAAAAATAAATATGTGAAATCTATGAATGGGCATGTTTTCTTCTTATTATTACTTATTATGTAATTAGCAATAGTCAGTTAGCTTTCTTAGCAACAGTCAAAATTAGAAACAGCCCAAGTGTCCTTTATACAATAGAATATATATACACATATATATATGCACACACATACATGTATTTTGAGAGAGGAAATACATACTTTAAGGTATGTAAAAATCAATAAATCTTAAGTATATGACTTAATACATTTTTATCCATGCAACCAACAATCAAAGTATAGAACACTTCCATCCCTCCAGAACCGCACTGTCCAACATAAATTAATTAAAATGAAATCATCTTAAATTTTTTTTTACTTACATTAGCCTTGAAGCTCTCAATAACTGCCTGTGGCTAGTCGCTACCATATTGGACATATCCATCACCACAGAAAGTTTTATAAGAAAGCACTGCTACTCACCTATCTCCCATAGGGAACCACTGTCTGATGTCTATCACCATAGATTAATTTTGCCTGCTCTTGAGTTTTCTATAAATAAAATCGTATAGTACATGCTTATTTCATCTGGTTTCTTTTATTTGACATAATGATGGTGAGATGCATCGATGTGGTTGCCTGTAGCAACAGCTTTTTCTTTTTCATTACTGTATAGTATTCCATTATGTGATGGTATCACAATTTGTTTATTGATTGATCAACCTATTGAGGATGTTTGGTTGGTTGCCAGTTTTTGGATATTCTGAATAAAGCTGCACCTTTTGAAGGACATTTTTTTTTTGTTTTTTGTTTGTTTGTTTGTTTTGAGATGGAGTCTCACTCCATTGCCCAGGCTGGAGTGCAGTGGCATGATCTTAGCTCACTGCAACCTCTGCCTCCTGAATTCAAACGATTCTCCTGCCCCCTGCCTCCCAAGTAGCTGGGATTACAGGCACCTGCCACCATGCCTGGCTAATTTCTATAGTTTTAGTGGAGATGGGGTTTCACCACATTGGCCAGTCTGGCTTGAACTCCTGACCTCAGGTGATCCGTCCACCTCGACCTCTCAAAGTGATGGGATTACAGGCATGAGCCACCTCACCTGGCCAGGACACATGTTTTTATTTCTCTTGGATTGCTGGGTTACAGAGTAGATACAATGTTTAGCTTCAGTAGATATTGTCGAATAGTTTTCCAAAGAGTATCCCCACCAGCAACGAGTGAGAATTCCAGTTGCTCCACGTTCTTGTCAACACTTGGTATTGCCAGTCTAAAAAGAAAAATTTTAGCCATTCTGGTGGGTGGCAAGATTCAGCGTTGAAAGTTGCCTGCCAATCACCCTGTACTCCTGTACCCTGTCCTCCAGGTCTGCCCAAGATGGAGGTGTTCCAGGAATACTATGGGCTTCCTCCACCCCCTGGAGCCATTGGACCCTTTCTACGACTCAACCCTGGAGACATTGTGGAGCTCACAAAGGCTGAGGCTGAACAGAACTGGTGGGAGGTACAGGCTGGGACAACAGGAGTGATGGGGTGGGACCCAAGTGTAGGGTTATGGATTCATGTGGTCTCAGGGAGTTGGGTCATAGTCTTACTGTGCTCTGGAGGTGATGCCTGGGGAGTCGGGGAGGTACACTGAGATTTCTCGGCATGGCTTTTCTGAGATGGCCATCTTCCCAGGAAGTTAATACTGATTGTCACCTCTCTGGGCTCTCCAGGCCATCCTGAGATAGATGGACAAGCAGAGTGACCAATGAGCAGAGAGACGGACACACACACACACACACACACACACACACACGAGTGATGGAGCAGGATCCATGTGGAGGGTTATGGGTTTAGGTGGTGGGTGGGGTTATGGATCCTATAACCTCTCTGTTCCTGTTTTTGTCTCCTGGGTGTTTAGGGCAGGAATACATCTACTAATGAAATTGGCTGGTTTCCTTGTAACAGGGTGAAGCCCTACATCCGTGTGAGTGCCTCAAGTCTGAATGGAACAAGGGCAAGGGGTTCAGGGTGGGTCCTGGGAGGATGGGCAGAATTGAAAAGACAACCCTGGAGTTGGGAAGGGGGCTGCCCATCATGGCAGGTCTATCTCCAACTCAAGGCTTTGCCCACCCCACCAACTGAGCCCAGAGAGGGGCCACCCTGGAAACAATGATTGATCTTTTTCTCCTTGATAATTTTTGTATCAAGGTCCTTTCCTTCCTACACAGGTATGGTAGGGAGGAAGGAACAGAGACCTAGAAAGTGGGCCTGCCCATGACTTCCTTCTGAGACACTGAATTGAGTTCTGTGAGAGTGCTGTGGCCTCCATTGCCTGCATCCTTGCCCTGCTCCTGGTGGACGCACCTGTCCACCCCAGCCTCTGCTGTTCTTCTAGTGTTCTCTTCTCGATGGACCCCTCACTCTTCACGATGACTTCAGAGCTCTCCCTCTCACCCCAACCTCAGATGTCCCCTAGCTCATTCATAGCAAATGACCCCACTGTCCACTTCACAGCCTACAGAGGGAAATTCTCTCCAGTGTTGCTTTAACTTTAATTTTATATTATTTCAGACTTCTAGCAAAACTATGAGAATAATGCAAAGAGCCCCCATTAGCCTTTACCCAGTTGCATTGGTTCTGCTAATGTTTTGTTCCATTTGCTCTGTCATTTCCTCTCTCTACCCACACATAGTATTTATTTTTCCTGGAAGAGTTAAAAGTGAATTTGCAGATGACGTTCCCCTTTACCCCTAAGTACGTCTTAAGAGCAAGAACCTCCTAGTACATAACCAGAGCAAGATTTTAAAAGACACAAAATTCAACATTGACATTATACTATTATTGAATTCATAGTCTGTATTTAAATGTTGTCAATTTCCCCAAAAATTTTATCAAAAATTTTTGTGTTCCTGTGGTTTCTCCACTGTCAAGTTACAATATGAGTTTCCAACTCCATCATTCTTTCCACATTTATTAGCTGGTGTTCTGCTGCAAGGAAGCGCTGTCCCTTCTGTCCCCATCTGTCTGTCTATCTGTCTATCTATCTATTTATCTATCTATCTATCTATCCATGTACCTACCTACCCATCAATCCATCCATTCATCAATCAATTCTTCCATCCATCCATCCATCCATCCATCCATCCATCCATCCATCCATCCATCCATCATCTGTCTACTTATCAATACATTCATGACCTGTTCATCCACCTATCATTTATCTATGTATTATCTGTCTATGTATTATCTGTCTATCTATCTATTCACTGATCATCTCTCTACCTATTTTTCACCTACCTATCTAACCATCTATTATCTATTATCATTTCTCTCTCATCTATTCATTTATCATTTATCTATCACCTGTCTGTTTATCATCTATCATCTATCCATGTACCTATTACCTATCTATCCATCATCCATCTATTCTATCTATCTCTTAATTTTTTTGTTTTAGAGAGAGGGTCTCATTCTGTCACCCAGGCTGGAGTGCAATGGTGTGATTTTAACTCACTGCAGCCTTGACCTCCTGGGCTCGAGCAACCCTCCCACCTCACCCTCCTGAGTGGCTGGGACCCCAGATGCATGCCATTATGCTCAGCTTTATTTATTTATTTATTTATTTATTTATTTATTTATGATGGAGTTGCACTCTTGTTGCCCAGGCTGGAGTGCAGTGGGGTGATCTCGGCTCATTGCAACCTCTGCCTTCTGGTTTCAAGTGATTCTCCTGCCTCAGCCTCCCAACTAACTGGGATTACAGGTGCCTGCTACCACGCCTGGCTAATTTTTGTATTTTTAGTAGAGATGGAGTTTCACCATGTTGGCCAGGCTGGTCTCGAACTCCTGACCTTGTGAACTGCCAGCCTCGGCCTCCCAAAGTGTTGAGATTACAGGCATGAGCCACCGCGCCCAGCCACAGCCATTTTTTTGTGTGTGATTCTTTTGCAGAGATGGGGTCTCACTATGTTGCACAGGCTGGTCTTGAACTCCTGGGCTCAAGCAGTCATCTCATAGAACATCCTTCCCTTTTTTCTTTTAAAAAATTGAGGTGAAATTTGCAAAACATAAAACTGACCATTACAATGTAGCTGAGATTACAGGCGTGCACGACCATGCCTGGCTAATTTTTTGTATTTTCAGTACAGACTGGGTTTCACCGTGTTAGCCAGGATGGTCTCGGTCTCCTGACCTCGTGATCCGCCCGCCTCGGCCTCCCAAAGTGCTGGGATTACAGGCGTGAGCCACCGCGCCCGGC